AATATTTGACCAATGTCATTGAGGTGCATGCCCTGGTAAAGCACGACGTGGTGATCCATTTCGCGCGATGCGCCGCTGTTTCCCAGTCAGGCGCGGGGTGTGGGAGGGCAGATGGCGAGTCCGCCCAGCAGCCCGCCGGCCCGGGCCGACGACGCGGCAGCAGCTGATACGCGATCGAAGTCGGCGCCGGCGCGCTGGCCCAGCTCAAATTAGCCTCCCGTATGCCGCCTGAGGTCGGCGGGCTGCGCCACGCTCCAGACGACTCCCATGCCTCCCGTATGCCGCCTGAGGTCGGCGGGCCGCGCCACGCTCCAGACGATTCCCATGCCTGCCGTATGCCACCTGAGGTCGGCGGGCTGCGCCACGCTCCAGACGACTCCCATGCCTCCCGCATGCCACCTGAGGTCGGCGGGCTGCGCCACGCTCCAGACGACTCCCATGCCTGCCGCATGCCCCCTGAGGTCGGCGGGCTGCGCCACGCCCCAGAGGACTCCCATGCCTCCCGTATGCCACCTGAGGTCGGCGGGCCGCGCCACGCTCCAGACGACTCGCATGCCCCCCGTATGCCGCCTGAGGTCGGCGGGCCGCGCCACGCCCCATAGGACTCCCATCCGGCGCTCGAGTGCCGTCCGACACGGCGGCGGCCCGACGCGCCAGTGACCTCTGGGAAGGGCGTGTACGACTCGGGGCGTGTGCGAAGCCCGGGCAGAAGGGGGCATTGCGGAGCGTCACACCAGCGACTTCAGAAGTGCCGTTTTCAGCTAATGGAGCTGGTGCTCCCGGGTATACAAAACATATCCGTGACCTTGCTGCTTGCTTGGCAGCAGTGCCATCCACTCAAGCCAAAACACTGGCCTGTTTAACGTTGTCCGGCCCATTCAATCGTCCCTATTAATGAGCGACAATACAGTCCGGACATTAATACAAATAGGCATGACTGGCGCTATCTGGCCGGCACAGCTTCGAACTCCCCGCCCCGACGGCCGCTGTCGGAGGTCCACCCGAGCTCCCAGCCCCGGCGGCCCCTGTCGGAGCTCCACCCGAGCTCCCAGCCACAGCGGCCGCTGTCGGAGCTCCACCCGAACTCCCCGCCCCGGCGGCCGCTGTCGGAGCTCCACCCGAGCTCCCAGCCACAGCGGCCGCTGTCGAAGCTCCACCCGAACTCCCAGTCACAGCGGCCGCTGTCGGAGCCCCACCCGAGCTCCCAGCCACAGCGGCTGCCGTCGGAGCCCCGCCCGAGCTCCCAGCCACAGCGGTCGCTGTCGGGGCTCCACGCGAGCTCCCAGTCACAGCGGCCGCTGTCGGAGCTCCACCCGAGCTCCCGGCCCCGGCGGCTGCCGTCGGAGCTCCACCCGAGCTCCCAGCCCCAGTGGCTGCCGCCGGAGCTCCATCCGAGCTCTCAGCCACAGCGGCGGCTGTTGGAGCCCCGCCAGAGCTCCCAGCCACAGCGGCCGCTGTCGGAGCCCCGCCCGAGCTCCCAGCCACAGCGGTCGCTGTCGGAGCTCCACCCGAGCTCCCAGTCACAGCGACCGCTGTCGGAGCTCCACCCAAGCTCCCAGCCCAGCGGAGTCCCGCCCACCGGCGACGCTCCGCCGTCGCAGTCGCGCCGGTCGGCACGGTCAGCGTGCCGTCAGTGTTTGTTCAGCGGCCCTCGTGTAAACCAAACGAGCAGCCGCGCGGGGCCGGCCGGCCGTCCGCGGCGCCCGGCCGCCGGCCGTCCTCCCCCCGCGCCCCGGCCATGGGGCACCGGCCGTGACGTCCTGCCAGGGGCGCCTCCTGCCACGCCACCTGGGACCGGCCGGTCAGCGACCGCCCGTCTGACCTGGCACTCGAAACAAGCCCCGGGTGTCTGAGGGTGAGCATCACTCGGTGGGCCGGAGCCGGCAGCTGCACACTGCACGCTCTCCACCTGCGCCTCCACAGACCGCGACATCCCCGCAGGGTAACACGGTCGGACGGCCGGTGCTTACGGCCGGCAGGCCGGCAGGGTCGGACGGCCGGTCCGCCCGGTGCCTACCAGCAGACACAGCAGACACTATTCGGACATTCTGCTCATTAGAGCTGTCTTGTCCGCTAGTTATGGCGGCCCGCACCCCCTGCCGTAGTACCATGCAGCGAAGCCATCCGGCCACACGCTATTTGATCCTAGCTGCATGCGTCTTCGAACCATAAATAAGGCAATTCTGTTGACACGTTTTATTTCGGTTTATGAATTACTTGGAAATAAAAGTTTGTGTCAAACTGGCCTTTTCCCGGCTCGTACACTTGAGCAGGGCCGTTCAAAAAGCGAACAGGTTAAAAGATTCCCTTCACGACAGCGACACTCACCCATGGACCCACGTTGGGCCGGGTCTCGGGTCTGGCTGCAAGCGATGCAGTGACCAACGGGGCTGCGGTGTCGTGGCTGGCCCCGCCCGGAGCTGGCACCAGCGCCGCCGTACTGCGCGGACACCGCAGCCGGCCGGCCGTCGACACATCGTGACAGTGCGGACCGGCGTCAGACACGCTCGGACGAACCCGACGCCGGGCGCCACGGAGCCGCGGACACCGCCGGACCCGGGCACGGACCGGCAGATCCATGAGCGCCACGAATGGAAAAGTTCACGAAAACAGGCCAGACGAGCAGCGAATGGACACGACATGCGCCTAAATAGTTTACGCCTTTGCGTCAAAGTTGTCACCATGATAAATCTCCGCACAAAGCCCTTTGGAGACAGGACATCCGCACGGAGTGAAACATAAAAGTGCTACCAAGCAAGAGAACGTGTCTGTGGGAGGCGTCAGGCTGGCGAGCCGGCTTCTCCAGCGCGCGCCGCCCCGACCAACCGCCGCTGGACAGCTGGGTCCCCGGCGACTTCAGCCGAAAGCGCTGGGAATCCTGTGAGCCTCCGGAACGCTCTGCGGGACGGCTGCGGCACCGACGATAGATCAACATCGACACGCCTGATGCCGAGCCCGAGGCCGCCGTGGGCCAGACTTGCTCGGCACACCGCCCATCTCTTGTCAGTTCCACGACGGGCCGACGGGGACTGGCCACACCCGACCACTGCGTTGCTGCTTGGCGTTGTTTTTTTTCCTCGACAATTTGAACCAGCAAAGGATGCCTTTTTCTGCCGTAGATCTTCCCGGATAATCAGCAACCCGTAATCTCGTCGGTATTAATCACGTTTGGGTAAATTTTAAATGTTTGAGAATGCAGGCTAGACCAGCCCGCTCGAACGCTCGGTATTAAACATTTGCATGGCATTTTCTGGAAAACACCAACGTTGCGGATTCTTATTAGGTTTAGAGTTTTTCAGTTACTAGGTCTTCTTATATTTCAACGATCATCATAAAATACAATTTTCGAACTCACCTACCTGAACAGGCCATGTCTGGCGAAATATGATGACTTGCGCCTTATTCATGGCACTTTATTCTAGTTTGGGACTGCGATCATGAGTGTACGACATGTGATGGAAATCCTGGATCGGCTCACTCGGCGGAGGAGCACCAAAACCATCACTTCGTGGCACCCGAGCATTCATTTTCTCGAGGCGTTCGCTGTGCCTCCTACCCCGACAGTATTCTGGATTGGCACGTTCTTCGCCGTTCGGCGAAAGTACGGTAAAACCCTTAAATTTGTGCAATCATAACCAAAATTTTCCTTCCAGAAGCATCCCCTTTGAGAGGGCACCACAGCGGGTCACCAAACCTTCATTTTCACGCGACAACAAATTCCAGGAGAACCTCAGCATGCCAGTCGCTCCATTGCCGAAATACTGAATCGGATCTCCTGTGCAGCCCCTCCCCCAACACACGGAATTTGGGCAACCAGTGAACGCATCATTCCGTGGCCACCTGCAGCCAGATCCGCAAATACAGCCGGTCCCAGCCGACTCGTGCCGCTCCTGTACTATCGGTCCCAGCTGGCTGACGACAGCTGGCTGCTGGCTGTGTCTGCCGCCTGATGCTGCGGAGCGGTGACCGTGGATCGAGCCGCCCGCCGGCCGGCCAGCGCTGCGGACCCGCGCACAGACAGCCTGTCCGTCACAGACGCCGTCGACGCCGTCCTGGCTGTGAGGCGCTCGTGGCCTCTCTGATGCAGACTCGCGTGGCGTCAGTGCCGGGCCGAGTGAAGCCAGGGTGGCCGGGTCCCACACGATCGGAGAAAAAGGGGCGCCATTGCCCGTCCACAAAGCGTCGGGCACAGCGCTGGCAGCGGCATCGATAAAGCCCGTCTGCGAGTGGCCACTGGCGCCGCCCGGTCAGGCCGCGGCGCGCCACTCTCGCCGCACTGTTCACCACTCACGCCGCACCTATGCCGACCCAGTTAGACAGGTGGGCGCCGGTCGTTCACCGCCGGCCCAGGGACGCTGCTCCCCTCCACACGCCACCGACGCCGCCGGCGCCGGCGGCCATTTAAACGCGCCGGCGACACGCCCACCTCCAGGGAGCAGTGGTGGGGGGACGACCTTCTAACCCACCCGCCAGTGCCAGACGGGTCGCGCGGTGAATCACGCGCGGCCGCGGCGAGACGGCGCCGTCCGGTCTCGTGTCGCCGAGCTCGGTTATGGACGGGGTAGCCCCTCATGGCAGCTCTGACCGGTTATGGCCAGCCGGCTTTTCGTCTCAGCCCGCCCGCGCGCCGCAGGGGTTGAGGCGGCCGGGGCAGCAGATGCAACGGCCGCGTGCGGCGACTAGAACCCGGTGAAAACGGTCGATAGAGCAACCGGTGCGACCTGACAACCATTAGCAATTCGAAAACATACGACGACGACTCACGCCTGTGTGACACGAGACAAGCGATCGCGAGACGTCCACCCCAGGGATGGCAGACCAAACCACCGGCAAGCACTGGTTTACCTCGTGAGGATCCGTCTGGACGCGCGCGAGTGGAGGCGCGCCGGGGCCGCACACCCCTTCGCGGCACAACACCCGCCTCCCCGACACCACCGCCACACTCAGCACTTGTTCAAAAGCTCCCAGCCCGCAGCCCCGTCTTGATCGGGTCAACTCACGGGTTTCTCCGGCGGCCTGCGCCGCGTCTATTTCCGTCGCTGATTCACTGTGGCGGCTGCTCGACGGCCACTCCCGGGCGACGTCTGGGGGCGGCGGCGGCGTCCGATGGCGGCGCTCGGCTCGGGTGCGGCTCCGCCCTCCCTCGGCCAGTCCCGCCGCACCGCTTTGCCGCGCCGCGCCGACGGCAGCTGTGTACGGCCCCTGACAGCGTGGCCTGCCGCCCGGCCGGCGTCGCCGCGCCCGGACGCGATGTCGGCGAGTGTACGGGCGCCGGGGACGGTCGATAGAGCGGCAGAGCCGACGCCCGGCGCGGCGCGGCGTCCCAGCCCGCCCGCCGGCCGGCCCACGGCTCGGTCGACCGCCGGCCCCGTTGGGGGGGCGGCACCGCCCAAAGTACCGGCGTCCGTGTGATCGCCGGCCGTGCGCGAGGTGGAGCCGCAGGCCGCTCAACTGATGCACGCCAATAGCTGGGATGACTTGTTAGTGGAGTGGCCTACCCGGGGTGGCGCCCGCAACACGGACGCGGAAACGATGCATATGGCACAAGACAAAAATATAGGCTCAAGGACCGCCTCGTGGTAACGCACCCAAACAGTTCTAGAGCGGAAAATTTCAAATTTCAAAATGTTTGATTCGCCACGAAACGGAAATGAACTGGTACATTTAACTGCCACCCCAGTCGATGGACCATAAGCACTTCCGGCCGGAGACGGTCGAAGTGCGAACCAGAGCGGCGGCGGACGCGTGGCCCATCTCAGCTGTTAGATCGGACGCGTGGCCCATCTCAGCTGTTAGATCGGACGCGTGGCCCGCCTCAGCTGTTAGATCGGACGCGTGGCCCATCTCAGCTGTTAGATCGGACGAGTGGCCCGTCTCAGCTGTTAGATCGGACGAGTGGCCCGTCGCAGCTGTTAGATCGGACGAGTGGCCCGTCTCAGCTGTTAGATCGGACGAGTGGCCCGTCCCAGCTGTTAGATCGGACGCGTGGCCCGCCTCAGCTGTTAGATCGGACGACTGGCCCGTCTCAGCTGCTAGATCGGACGAGTGGCCCCTGTTAGATCGAACGAGTGGCCCGTCTCAGCTCTTAGATCGGACGAGTAGCCCATCTCAGCTGCTAGATCGGATGCGTGACCCATCTCAGCTGTTAGATCGGACGCGTGGCCCATCTCAGCTGTTAGATCGGACGAGTGGCCCGTCTCAGCTGTTAGATCGGACGAGTGGCCCGTCTCGGCTGTTAGATCGGCGAGTGGCCCGTCTCAGCTGTTACATCGGACGACTGGCCCGTCTCAGCTGTTAAATCGGACGAGTCGCCCCTGTTAGATCGGACAAGTGGCCCCTGTCAGATCGGACGAGTGGCCCGTCTCAGCTCTTAGATCGGACTAGCGGGCGGTGGGTTCGTTGGCGGCGAGAACTGATTTATTTTACGTTCTTGTTAGGAGAGGCGCTTAGATTTGGGCATTCCGTCTCTGCGCCAATCCATCCATCACGTCACATACTGCATTATGTTCGCAATCGGAAATAAAGAGCATCTGCGCAAGGCAAATCACGTCACATACCTCCACAGAGTGACCCAGGCACAGAGCGTCCTTCCTGTGACGCCAAGCGCGCAGGCCAAGCCCTACTGTGGTGCGGTTTATGCCCGGTTCACCGTCTATCTGGCGTCGCCAAACTGACCCGCTGGTAAGCATGTCCCAAAACTTATCACGTCAACAGCGCAATTCATCGACATTCATTTCAGACGTGGTTCCAGCTCTCCCGAACGGGCTGAACTGGCTGTGACGCCTGCAATACAGAACAGGTCTGCATCACATGCACGTCCACAAAACAAACGTTGCCTTCCACCACAATTTGAGCCGTTCGTGGACATGACAGAGAAATCGCCAAGCCCCGGACACTCATTGATACCATGCATTCCCATGTGGTTTTAATGAATCAAGTGACGCCCGTCACTGACATGGCGCTATATTTGGATGATGCCCACCTAAAACCGAAGGCAGAGCTGTACTCGCACAGCCGTACAGCCACGCCTCGGATCAAATTAGGTCATATGCATAGCAGGTCACGAAGGGCAGGTCACCTGAAAAAGCACAGTTTAGAAATATCCCGTCGCATGAAAACCGTTAAATGTTGGAAGACAGAGAGGCAGAGGTAGAGGCAGAGGCAGAGGCAGAGGTAAAGATAGAGAGAAAGAAAAAATCAAATTCAATTTCAAGATTTTTCAATAGCTCTGAGAGCAATTCAGTACTACAAGGTACATCAATTTTTTCATCAAAAGATCCGCTGGTCCATTGCCTGCAGTTATGCAAAATTTGCCACAGCAGCGCTGCGCCATTCGGAAATTATGCTGTGAAAAACCTTCCGGGGCCGCATCGATCCCAATCCGAGCGCGGGCCAAAGAAGCCTTAAACGCATATTCCACCATCGCCCTTAACACCATGAACGTCCGTGGTCGTAGGAATCTCCAGTAGTTAAGCAGCACAATTCCGAAACGTAATTTTCTTGTGATCATTATAGGGTATCGTAGAGAAAATGTTGTTGTATATCTGTATAAACATCTTATTATGTTGCCTTCTCTACTTAATATCATAAGTTCACTTCATTTCAGATTTGCTTTGGTAATTATCCAGACTCTGACCAAAAACTCAAAGAAAGATCACAGCTTGCTTATCTAAATATGCCTCCCATATCCGTGGCCTGGTGGTCTGGGGAAAATGTTGGACAGCGCCAGCGGCACTGGGTACGAGTCCAAGAGCGGGCATATTGCTTTCCCGACTAGAGTGAAAGGGCCAGCTGGCAACTGGTCAAGGGGGGTCAACCCAGGTTCGGGGCAGGCGTGCCTCAGCGTTGTGTGGCGCGTAAAATCCTGCGCATTCCTGCCTGGCGAAAGGGCGGAGGCAAAACCAGCCGTTTATTTGGACAGCACGACTTGGGTGGCGGTTTTAGGGTGCAAACAATGCGTTTTGCTTAGAATGCACTCTGAGCCCAGCAGCTACCCATGCAAGCCATTCGGAAAAATATTTAAAACATTCCAGAAATCATCCCAAGGAAGAGGCGCGTAATGGGATTCGCACCTCTTTCCACGGTATAACTTTCTATATAAGACGACTGGATAATAATTTTTGACCAAAACGCACCGGCCAATATCAGAAAACAACGGATTTGTTTTCACATTTGAAAATTAACACGCGCCCGGGTGGCCGGCTGGGTATCCTTCGGTCGCAAGGGGGGTCAATTTGAACCCGCTGAGATCTCGGGAACTAATCATGCTAGACACACCAAATTCACAGGGTGTGTTGACCTGTACGTGAACTCACTTGGGTCAAAGTTTAAGCTTCCTATGTGATGACCTTCGGGTCAAAAAGGTCAAACAAGGTCAAATTCCAAGTTGGTCTACAAAGTGCCCCCCGAACCTAGATAAGCGCTCCTGAGCCAAATGTCACGTGCTCATTTAAGGTCAGTGACCTTGTCTGACCTTTAAAAGACCATGGTGGCCAAAATCAAACAAAACTGCTCTGAGTTTTGCATTTCAATAAGTGACAAAGATTACACTAGGCAGTACGTTCCTGAAAACAAAATGTTGACCTGGGTCATTTTAGGTCCAATGACCTATTCTGACCTCTAGGAAGTCCATGGAAGATGTAGAATGCGGTCCCTGCTATCAACAAACTCGAAATGAGCGCCAGAAACTGTCCCGATACCGCAAGCCCCAGGGTAATGAAACAGGTTGGTTTTGACCCTGGTCTGACCCTCATACCTGACCTTAGGTCAATGTAATTTGCTCATTCAATTGTTGAGTTACCTGAGAAAGTATCTCAGAGATGTATGGCTTCAGTCTAACACTCCATTGTTGTATCAGATTGAACGATTCTCTAGCAGCTGCCCTCGCCGAAACCATGGCCCGACTTCGACCTGCCACAGGTCAGCGACCTTACAAGAAACATCTAAATTTTTGACAACAAACGATCCGCTATTCAATTGCCTGCAGCTATGCAAAATTTTGCGCGGTTACGCCGCGCCATTTGGAAAGCGGTTTGAAAAAACCTTCAGAACAATTTGATCCCCCAACTCAGCGAGTGTCAAATGACTACGGCCAGTATGCCGCAGGGTCCCAAAGATGGCACTGATCGATGATTGATGGATTGTTGTTGTTGAGTGGAGTTTTAGGGCGCGTCGACTACTGCGGTCATTTTGCGCCCATAACAGCCAAATGACTAGCTTCGGAGTGTGACTATGAAATGACTAAAAAAGATGATTGATGGATGAGGCAGCTGATTGTGGGTGAAGTCCGTGGTTGTGGTAGAAAGAAAAAGGTTATGTTAAGGTAGGTTGAGTTAAATCATAGGGAATTGTCACCACTAATAGGTCAGTAACATCATTTGTTGTTGAGTGGCTCAGCAACAAAAAAAGAACTATGTTCCTGTCATGGTGCCCAGTTACTGAGGGCATTGTGTGTTGCTAATATTGTTCTGTCCTAATTACCATGGGATAAATTGGTAAAAATATGGCACAGTATGCTGTAACTATGTATGGGTGCACACATGGAAAAACTTTATAAGTAATTATCACTGCAAATTTTTACTGTGGGTGATGACACTTATTTCAGTGCATCAAGACTGCAGACATGTGCCAGGAACCCCTAAAAAAGATCCCAGGATCCCATCAACATGGTATCTTAAGGGATCACATACCATCATAAAATGGTCTACCTAAAATAATTTTTTATAGATATTTGTAAGGCATTTTGAACTGGGAATAGCCTTTCTAAAGTTTATTTGGTACAGTTTATAACCCTGCCATTATTAAGACCTAAACCACTCGTTTCTGAGCAAAGCACCCACATATAAGTGCACTTTTTCCAGGTCATCCAGGCAGCCATAATGCCACCATAGCATCATTCAAACCTTGTCATCCCACGGGTCACAACAAACTGAGTCATGCTTTGTTTTCATGTGTATATTATATCTGGTATGGGTATGTGGTGTGTATTCATGAACATGATTTCACTACCATCAATAGGCCTCTCAGTCAATGCTGTGCATGGTAGAACTGTGATCAAACAATGTCATATCAAGAAGGTTATTTACACAATAGCAAAATGGTGTTGTAAAGAAGTCTTTTAGTTTAAAGAATATGGTAGGCTAAAAGTGATCTTAAGTCATCATCTCTGGTGTCTGCTTCAATGCATTCAAATGTGGAATGTTCCCTTTAAGTTCAACTCAAGGGAGAATGATGTTCCAATCACCAAGGCATCCGACGAGTAAATAATTACCCACACATTGCCTCCCACAAGCTACCCAATGCATCAAAATACAGATTTGGGCTTCAGAAGTCCCCCTCCCCTCTTGCAGATACCCCACTTCCCTCTGTTGTATGTGCAATGTACCTCCCTTCAGAACATCACACAGGCTACAGATACTTTGTTATTAATCGGTGTTTAAGAGCGCGTCAACTACGATGGTTATTCTGCGCCCATCTACATGTCTTCAGGCTCCCGGCGGAAAAGTGGGATGGGCCCAAAGAGCGGACACTTTTTTCAGCTGCTATCGTTGAAAGAAACACACAAACAGAGCAGTGATACTATGCAACATAACGAACATACCTTGAGTTTAGATGTGACGACAAAAAAAGGTAAAATTCACGGCAAAAAACACATAAGCACTCAACATATATCGGGTACCCCACGAACCACGGCCAACAACATAGTCAACGAGCTATTCACTTGTAACCTGCGCGAACCACTGCATGACGTCACTGGGACCCATCTGGCCTGTAACCATAGATGGGCGCTGCGGACGAGATCTCAGCCGCCAACAAATTCGCGATGCTACCCGCGATTTGAGGGGGACGAAAAATGGGGCATGATTCATGCGAATCGCACATCCAGTGTCATGCCGTCAGCGTCGCGGCTGCCATCGTCGCTGCCCTTACGACTGCTGCCTCTATTTTACGGGATCACCAAGAACGGTGGGCGGGCGCCGGTGATAACGGCGGTTGCCCCAGGACATTCGCCCGTGGACAGGCGTATCAGTCACCAGGTAGTTTCACTGCCTATCGATACCCATGACCTCCCCCCCCCCCCCCAGCACACACACTCCCCGATCGATCCCACAGATATGTACGGGGGTCTTGCACGAGCACTTGCCGTCCAGTAAGGAGGTGCTTGAGCGAGCCGGCGGTTGCGTCGCATAACTCGGCTGATTTGGGTTACGTTTAGCTTACTTTTGCACTGCCTTAATCATGTATCCCAATTTACCTAGTTAACCAGCCATCTTCTCTAAACCGCATTGGACACAATTGCTTCAGGCGGTAAATGGTAGGATCCTTTCATATACGTTTGAAACGCTCCTACGCCTATCTTCATTTGGGTCATAATGATGAAATCCACAGTAATTTTCTGTCTGGAGGTCAACCGCCAACTTGTCTCCGCCGCGATCACCAATTGTCGGTCTCCCACGTGCTCGTTCCGTGTCGCAACCTGGAAGCTAAGCGCTCCTTTGCCTAAGCCAAACGAGCGCGGGCGCTTCTTTGGCCACAATGCTTTGCGGGAACTGTCTCTGTGCTTCCTGATTGACCAGAAACTGATCAGTGGTACCAAGGTGGTTTTAGATTTCATGAAACACATCCATTTTTAAATAGTGTACTCGCCCGTTCAATCAGTGTACGACGCGAACCCCTATTTACCCAAATCAGGTGTAGCGGATCAGTCTCGCGTGGAACACACGCACGCACCGAACACATGGATGCGTGGCATTTTAGTAGGTCGCAAAGTGATCGATGTAGTCAACGCGCCCGAAAAATATGAATATCATCATCAACACCATGATATCCTCCAAACTTGAAAAAAATAATGACGGTGGTCGCATCTGGAGCGGGCTACGAACTTTACGCTGGGACGCAGGCATATATTGAAATACCGAATGATTTGAGCATGTGCGCTGGAAAATGCATCACAAGCGTAGTGCAGGCCCTGCACAAGGACTTTGAATAATATTTCAGAAAGTCCAGAATTTCCATACAGAATTGAACGTGATTTTGCGTCACGCCACTTGCTCACCGGACTACATACAATGCACTTCAAAGAACTTTCATCTGTGGTAACGTTTCCGTGACGTCAGATGTCATTCAGTTCACCCAGGCCCCAAAAACACGGCCATCCCAGCTACCCAGGAATGTGATTTCTCTGGAAGCGGCGAACTCCACACTTCATAGTCTACATCCCTGGTTTTAAAACAGACAGCTCGCAAAATGTACTCAGGCTTTCTCTTTTCAGACAATATCTTGGGCCACAGGACGTCCGTTCGGAGACGCCATCAAAGTTGTGCATGAATCTGGGATCTTCGCAAATGTTCGGTACGCGTCAAAGCTTCATAAAAGCGCTGACAGAGAAGAGTGGAGGACCGGAACTTGTAAGTCATAGTTCTTGACCTTTATAGTTCGTCGGCAACGTGAGTCCGATAACTTGTATCACGGCGGTGAGTTGTAATCATTACGCAGTCTTCTACTTTCCCAAACGTCACAAAGGCAAATTCTGAACGACTATATGCATTACAGGCAGTCAGAAATGTGCATTTCCTAGAACATCGTTCAATCTCGTATTCCGGCATCACATTCAACTCAGGTTCCACAACATCTCATCTGACTATAAACCAGGCATTCCATTACCTGTATATTCTGTCTACGCAATATCTGTAATTTATACATATATTCATGGCTGGACGATTCCACGCACGCGGCACATCTCGATACAATATCATATCCCATTAACCATGTAAGACCAGTGCTGCAGGCCTTATTTCTTACTGACAGATGATAAAGTGAAAAATACAGATGCATCGATATTTCAGCTACAAGTCTTTCGAAACAGTGTACGTGCTTCCGCTGGCTGACTTCAGCCAGTCTCGGCAGGTTTGACTTAACCGCGCATCGATGCACTATTACGATAAAGGTTTACAACCGAAGTATCAGTATATCTCCATTTTCCCTTTGCCATCTATCAGCGAGCAATAAGGTCAAAAGTACTGCTCCCATGTACGCGTGATGTACCTCGCAACTCCACTGTACAGTTTGTAATCAATCGATGTCATTCATCCCTCTAAGAATGGATCTGTGTATTCACCAATCTCGCGGGAGCGGCTATAGACATAATACATCACATATCGGCCGACTGATGGCGCGTATCTACACACACAAGCACGTACACACACACACACACGCAGAGACATCAGTGGCGGACCGCAGAGGCGGCGACACCGGGGGAGCATCGCTGGGTTACGAGCCGTGGCGGGCTGGGTCGAACCACGGGAGCGAAGGTCGTACCACCCCGTAAAAACTGCCGAACACCAACACCTCCGGCAGACGCTGAAACGGAGCATCAGACTATCAATGGAGTGCCCGCGATGCAGAACACGAAGAGCGCCGACACCCACACGGTCCAACACAACGGAAATGTACCACGTGAATGATTTACAGACCATCAGCAAGCGATTGGCAAGATTAGGTTGACAGCCTCAACAAGCACCTAGGCAGATGAAAACCATACAGTGCTATCCAGCACAATATGATATAGCAATGAACAGCAGCTGAAAAGATAATCGACCAGCAGAAAAGGCAGAATTGTAAGCCATTTAACCAAAATTATTTCAAAGTGGGTTCGGTCCTGGAATGTGCAGGTGAGGCAGACAGGATACCCTCAGTTCGCTCAAACCGAAATCGGTACTCGTGCAACCAGCGAATGCTTCTGTCCTCCCCGACTTTCCGACAGCTGTTCAGCACGTACCGGCGCTGCGGATGGTGGCAGCTGCGAAGTGTGGCCTAGTCGTCGAACTTGCGGTTGATATTGCGGCCGAACAGAGCAGTTCTGACCTCGGGCAGCATCTGGCCGCTGAGCAGGTCCAGCCGCGACTCCAGCGTGTTGGTCACCTTGATGCGATTACCCTTGGTGTGCATCTCCACCCCGCCGCACCTGGTGGGCGTCAACAAGGCGGTCAGTATCAGAGCCACTGGACCAACAGACTTCACACACACGCGCGCGCACGCACTCACGCACATATCAGTGTACCCAGTGTACATAATCAGTGTACCCAGATAAGACAGGCAGGTGGGACAGAAGCCATGACAGACCAGTGAAAGGGGGACCTTCGACGCGCCGATACTACGAATTTAGCGCACCATCGCGATACGTTAGGCAATCATGAAACATGTGAAGAGTCACATCAAGAAAATATGCAATTGGTATCATGATGACAGAAATTTAACACGGAAGGCAGGAGGGAAGATCAAATGCGCACTGTTGTCACCGCGATATCTGTAATGATGCATGGTAAACAGGTCCCACCGCTCTCAAATTCACTGAACATAAGAGGTCATTCCGAGATTAAAGGTTTGGCATCCCGAAAAACAATGTAGACCGATGCGATTTTTGGTCCGTCATTTGTTAAAAGCTTCTGTCACTTTTAAGACAACCATATTTTATATAGCTTGGATTGACATGTACTATGAGGTGTAAAGATTGTAAGAAGAAGGGGACAATAATGGGCAACTTTTAACTGCACACAGCTGTCTTAAGCCTCAAGTACAGACTTTTAACATATGGCGGATGGTTCATATGATCCAAAGAAGTAAAGCAACATGGAGCATTTCATCTTTACATATTACAGTCACAACTAAACGAATGTCATGCAAATAAAAACAATCCCAGCTTTGCATGCAGTGTTACTGATGAACATGACCCTGAATGAGAAAAATAAATGTGTCCATAGACACCACAAAGGCCAATCAAATCTTAAGCTTCTAGCAAATGGAATGGTGCTGAACACTCCTTGTACAGATGAGAACCCGGGACTTATTTGGAACTTGTACCTCACACCCTGAACTGAACTGAAATTATCATTTTTTTTGTAAACCTTGGGGTGTGTTAAGTCCACCGATGGGGTGAAAGCCATGTACTCCATGTTCATGGCCCACTCACACATTGGCTGGCAGGAACACATCATCCAGCTTGACTTGGCAGGTCTTTCCCTTGGTGGCCTCGCGATACTGGGCCATGGCAGCCTCCAGCACGCTCTGCACCACACCGACATCGGCCTGGCGACACCGCACCGTGACCTGCGGCTCCAGCAGCTGCCAACAAACACAGGTGTCAGCGGTGACATGGAAGGACCACACCGCATTGTGACCTGCGGCTCCAGCAGCTGCCAACACACACAGGTGTCAGTGGCGGTACGGAAGACCCACACCGCACCGTGACCTGCGGCTCCAGCAGCTGCCAACACACAGGTGTCAGTGGCGACACGGAAGGACCACACCGCACCGTGACCTGCGGCTCCAGCAGCTGCCAACACACACAGGTGTCAGTGGCGGTATGGAAGACCCACACCGCACCGTGAACTGCGGCTCCAGCAGCTGCCAACACACACAGGTGTCAGTGGCGGTACGGAAGACCCACACCGCACCGTGAACTGCGGCTCCAGCAGCTGCCAACACACACAGGTGTTAGTGGCGGTACGGAAGACCCACACCGCACCGTGAACTGCGGCTCCAGCAGCTGCCAACACATACAGATGTCAGTGGCGGTACGGAAGACCCACACCGCACCGTGAACTGCGGCTCCAGCAGCTGCCAACACACACAGGTGTTAGTGGCGGTACGGAAGACCCACACCGCACCGTGAACTGCGGCTCCAGCAGCTGCCAACACACACAGGTGTTAGTGGCGGTACGGAAGGACCACACCGCATTGTGACCTGCGGCTCCAGCAGCTGCCAACACACACAGGTGTCAGCAGCAGCACGGAAGGACCACACCGCACCGTGACCTACGGCTGCAGTAGCTGATAGCACACGCAAGCGCACGTACACGCTGCGAAAGAAATTAACCATTCTGGGGGGGGGGGGGGGGGAGGCGGCAGTCGGATGAAACAACACAATGGTCGTTGCTGTTGTCTGATGATGCACATGGTTCTCCAAGATGCTGGTTCTAGCTGGGGGGTTGTGACTTCAACAAGACTTACCATATTCAGTACATAGTGTCTTGGATGCATGAACATAACTTACAATGAAGTAAGCCACACACCCTGCTGCATCACAGAACCCGAAATGGCAGAAATACAAAAGCAGAAGATGCCAGGAACCTGCCCCTCTCCCAGGGATTCAGGACAATGATAGCCTGCCTAAGCAGCGCCTGCCTCTGGCACATTTGGGCAGCAGACCCACCTGGTATAGACCCTGCATGATGAGCGCCTGCAGCACCACGGCGTAGCGATCCGGGTCACTGGTGATCTGGCCGAGTCGGCGGCGAGCCTCCTCAACCACGCCGTACACGTGGTCCTCGCGCGCCTTGAGCACCTTCAGGCGTGCCTGGTTCTGCAGGTTCGAGTTCTGACTGCAGCCAGACACACCCACACGTCAGGACGGCTCCCAGACCTGAGCGTCGAGCGCGTATGACGCCGAGCAGGATGCATCACACATGAACATAAAGTGGGTTTTGACTGCCTAGCACATAGCATACTGCATGAGACGCGTGCAAAGTGGGCATGCATTCAGACATGAATGCAGACTGCACTGCAAATCTTGCATGGTCAGAAGCATTATATATAAATATACATGCAATACATGAATGTATTCAAACCCAGTCTGTTGTTGGCAATCAACAGCAAATGATGGTTCTGACTCAAATTTTATTGGGAAGAGCTACCTGGCAATGCATGGATACTTGATGGGTGGTTGCAGTGGTTCACAGGTTATTTAACAAAGGCCCCAGTTATCAAATATGCCAACACATTTACAAAGGCATACTTAACACAGAACCAGGTGAGGGGTCAATTTGACCCTCTGAAAGGTTTTCCAAAATGATTTCTTAATGCCCCAAATTTTGCATGGATGTAGATAATTGAACAGCAGATTGCTTGGTATCAAAATTTAGATGTACCTTGTAAGGTCACTGACTCACAGCAAGTCAGTCAGGGCACAGTTTAAGCAAAGACAATATCCCGGGAAGCATTCAATCTGATGTAAAAATGGAGCGTGAGACAAATTCATAGATGTCTGAGATAATTCCTTGAAGATGGTTTAGGCAACACAACAACTGAACTAACAAATTCCATTGACCTAGGGTTAGGGTATGAAGGTCATACCTACAGCAATACCATTTTGATTTTTCTCTACAACTTGTTTTGAAGGGTAAATTGTGTTTCTCATTTTGAATTTGATGATAACAGGAACCAAATTACACATCTTCCAGACTTCTCAGTGGGCTGAATGGGTCACTGATCTAAAATGACCCCAGAAAAAGTATTTTGTTTTTTGGAAGAGTACTGCCCATTGTAATCCCTGATGTTTGTTCAAATGCAAAAATTAGAGCAGTCTTGAATTATTTTGGTCACAATGACCTTCAAAAGATAAACAAGGTCACTGACCCAAAGTGATCACCACTGAACCTTTGCTTAGAACAGGCACCTAGGTTAACCATGGTTGCATGAGAAGCTCTGGGGCTCTTTAGGCACCACTCTGGTGTTTGACCTTGTTTGACCCTATTTGACCCAAAGGTCATCATCTAAGAACCTTAAACCATGCCAAAAGTAAGTTCACACACAGGCCAACAAATCCTGTGAAATTAATGACTTCTGCTCTCTTAGTTTCTGAGACATCCAGGAGGTCAAATTGACACCCCATCCCACCACCCACCCTGGTGAAGGATATTCAAATGGCCACCCAGAGGTGTGTTAAAGGAAATGTTTCATATTTGAATGCATTAAGGCAAGCATAAGATATGATTGAACATGCTCACTTAAGGCTGCTCTAGATGACACCATTTGTCTGCTTAATATATAAACTCCATGATACAGAAGTGTTCCATTTTGCCACATGCCTTGCATGACATTGAGAGCCAATTGAGACATTGTATCTGGTTTTCTTTTCCAGCCAGCTCTTCCAGACCATGATTTGTTCCATGAACACACGGCCCATTACATCTCCACTGGCATAACATCAAATTTTCTTGCCCATGTTAGTGAGAGCCTAGGGAAGAATCGACCAGCTGTACATGGTGTTTGACTTGGAAACCAAAATCATGCATCATGGTTAACCAATACAGCAACTGTCTAGATTATTTTACTCTGCCAGAAAGCTTGGGAGACAGGTTTACTTACATTTTCTTCTGAAGGTTGACTTGCTTCAGACGTTTGTCATAGTATTCTTGGATCTTGATTCGCTGCTGATGAACTAGACGCCCCTTCTCAATATTAAACTCCTCCTCAGCCTTTGCATCAATTTCCTCAACCTTTTCATTGGCCTCCTGTTCTATAAAGGCCATCATATGCTTGATCTGGAAGGGGAGTAACAACAGAACATGAGGTAAGACAAGTGCAAAAAAACTACCAGGAGTTGTGCAACATACACAATGCCAAAGACCACTGAGGTCATCATTACTGACAATTCAAACATATGCATCTGGCAATTCAATGTGGGATTGTTCCCTGCAGCCTCAAATACCTGAAATAGTCAAACATATGCAGAGTTATGGTGGGGCAGGTAAAAACACAAAATCTCATACAGAATGCCCCATGTATGTGACATCACATAGTTCTCAAGGCAAGGGAAACTTGAAGACCCAATGGGCCATATTGTCATGCTGTTGTAGTTGACCTTTATAACAGCTTATTATTCCATCCAGTCCTACATGCAACTGCTCATGCAGCACCCATATGACCAGAGATTCACCTACCATATTGCAGAGCTTGGACAAAATTTTTCCTGGCAAACACAGCCCACTTTACTTACATCAATTTCTGCCAGACAGGTACAGGGCATGCAAGCAAACAAAGGCCAGATTGCCCAAGATGAGCATGACAGCTATGACACCAATGAATTTTAATGTTTTAATAGCAAAATTTCTGATGCATTTTTGAATCTTATAGATTTAATAGCATAGGAATATAATCCATAACCTTGGATTGTAATCTGGATATAATTCTGTCCCATTTCAGGAAAAGCAGTAGGGGATTACTGCTAGTAGCCAGGAGGTACAAATTTTACCAAGTGACATCTACTTGAAGAGCATCCTGGATCTGGCCTGCCTCCAATATCCCACTGAATGGTCAGCCACTTTCAGCACACTGGTCTTCATAGCAATTCAGCTTGACATAACCCAACACTGGTAACATTCTTTGGAGCATTTACCCTCCCCATCAAAACTTGTGGCAGTCATGTGCCAAGCCCTCAGCACACACTCAGACAGCACAGGTGCATGTCATCTGAAGTATCAATAACAGCTAAGAAGTATTTTTGCAGTCTGGCTGCCAGGCTCAGGCCTGGGTCAAAGGAAAGGAAAACTTAGCTTTACACTGCTGAGCCCAAAGTAGTAAAATTTGTGATAAATTTGGCCGGGAACTTTGTGCATTGGAGTTTTCAGAAACACTGTTTCCAATTTCGATTGCAAATGCTTTGATATTACTTGCAGTTTAAGAACAGTGTAAAACTTGCCTGTTTGTTGACATCGACTGCGTCCACTTTCGTGCCCATTTTTGATGACTTGGCGTGTGCTTCCAAGTTAGAACAAGATCACCACACCTACAAGCAGGTGTTAAACGTTGCACAGGGCACGTCGCCAGCAAACCGAACGACGCGGAATTCAGCAGATGGCCGGTGCCCTGCTCTTGACAAACGCGACCACTCCGGAGCCTTTCGGTACGGGATGAGCGGTGCACGGGCGAGCGACGGAAAATGAAGTACGCTCAGACAAAGCAGCCAAAATGCGTTGTTTTCCACAATAGAAATGACATACAATTATGTGCAAAATGTAAACCTGGGAGAAATATCTGGTACTGTAAAATTTTATTCATTTAAAAGGAATCTTTTATGCTGAAAAATAGCATTCCTTGCGAAACCATTGAAGCACGCCCCGCACATCATATGACGCGCGACGGACGATGCAGTCGCCAACCGCGTATATTGATATGCCGTACTATTTAAGCACTGGCGGTGGAAAATATCCCACAAGCGTAGTGCAAGCGCCCTACAAGAACTACGTGCTGCTGCCAATTCTGTGTCGCGCTAAACTACCACTCGAACTCGGTTCTACATGGCGTTTGCATGCATATGAATAGGATATTATCAGATATTTTCGTGCTGGTAAAGATTTCATGCTTTCCAACGTACCCGGGGAGCGCAAGTGCCCGCAAGATGTCTGAGAAGGCGTGGACAACGATGTTTTGAGCATTTCTTTCCAGTCTGCGTCCATACAGGGTTAACACGCGCTCGGGCGGCCGGCTAGATACCATTTGCTCGGGTGGGGGGGTCAATTTGTGCTCCCCCTCCTGAGATCTCGGGAACTAAGAAATCTAGAGACACCAAATTGCCAGGGTGTGTTGACCTGTACGTGAGCTCACTTAGGTCAAAATGTCACGTTCCTAGGTCATGACCTTCGGGTCAAAAAAGGTCAAACAAGGTCAAGTTCCAGGTTGGTCTCCGAAGTGCCCCCAGAACCTAGATAACCGGTTCTGAGCAAAAGGTCACATTCTCATTCAAGGTCAGTGACCTTGTTTGACTTTTTGAAGTCCAGGGTGACCAAAATCATACAAGATTGCTTTAAGGTTTGCATTTTACTAAGTGACAAAGGTTATGCTAGGCAGTATGTTCCTAAAACAAAATGTTGACCTGGGTCATTTTAGGTCAATGACCTATTCTGACCTCTAAGAAGTTCATGGAAGATGTATAATGCGGTTCCTGCTATCAATAAACCCGAAATGAGCACCAGAAACTATCCTGTACAGCAAGCCCTAGAGTAACAAAGCAGGTTGGTTTTGACCTTGGTGTGACCTTCATACCTGATTTTAGGTCAATTTAATTTGCTCATTCAACTTTTGTGTTGCCTAAGAAAGCATCTCAAAGATGTATGGCTTGGTCTAACACTCCGTTGTTGGATCAGATTGAGGGATTCCCCAGAAATTGCATTCGCTGAAAGCATGGTCTGACTTTGACCTGCCTTAAGTCAGCGACCTTACAAGGTACATCAAAATTGTTGATGCCAAACGATCCGGTATTCAATTATCTACAGCCATGCAAAATTTGGCGCCGCTACGCCGCGCCGTTCGGAAACTATTCTGGAAAAACCTTCTGGGGGGTCAATTTGACCCCCACCCGAGCGCGTGTTAATGTAAGATCTCCAGAAAGTTTGGGGCCGGGGGGCCTCATCCTCTTGTTTTTCCACCCTGTAAGAGTAAGAAATATTTTCCTTGTATTAGGGAAATCTCACCTCATCACCACCATTACCTCTGAATTTAAAAATTGTGGGGCATTTTGAAATCGCTCTCAATAAGTTGCATGCTCGTGTCGAAGCCGCTCGGAGCGGCGCCACTGATTTTCGATAGAGGAGGGGAGAACGAAGTCGTAAAACCATCGCAACGCCCGCGTTGCGCTGCACAGTAGCGTAGGCAGAGGGAGAGGGCACAGGGCGCACCTACCCCCCCCCCCCCCCCCCGAGAGAGAGAGCGTCTCTCTATTTCGGCCAGAGATCACCACCACCGAACAGTAGGCTCCGTGTTGGTCTCAGCTCTGACGGCGCATTTTCCAAGAGGAGCAAGGCCGGGTCGCAATTTACATTGGTTAGTGTCCCTGAAACAATGCAGGGCTCCTTCATCGGTCACAGGCCCACAGTGCCTAACAGTGTTGTGTAGTGTGACAATAAGTGTTGCAATTAGTGTTGTGTTACAATTGTGTACCAATTAGTGTCGAATGCAGAGGGTCGAAATAAGCTTTAAAAAAAATGAACAAGCTCATCCTATGTTAGCTTGACGTTTATTCTTTTGCAGAATCAACTAGTGAAACAAATTACATAAAAAAGTCCTAGCTTGTGCGCCCACAATCTCAGGAACAATGACATAACGAACAAGTTGCCGGTACAGCCTGGTATCTGTACCTTTTTGTCTTGCTGACGACGCAACATCTATTTCTCGGTATTTTAGACATCTTAGAGACCTTATGCAGCGGAGATGCGCTGCAGATACCTTGAAGAGCTTTCACGAGGTTGTCTTGGCCATACGCCCCTCGGTGCGATGTCCTGGCTCTTGATCGGGTCATGTTATTAGTCTGAAAATGACAGATACTTGATTAAGCAATAGTATGAACAAATAGGATGATAATCTGTGGAAACAATGCAGTGACATTAGTTTGGGTAGATGACGGAGAGTGCTATACTGTGATATGATCGGGAATCGATTTGTACATGGGTGGGGGTGAGAGTTAGATTAAACTTCTCAAGCTTTCCCTAAAGGAATACAACGGTGACGTCTAGCACCGTCAAACTTTAAGTAGCAAACCCTACATCATTTTGTTATGACACAACAACTACGAGAATCGCCTGATTATTACAAACACATTTAATGATTGTGCGCCTACAAAAGCATTCGCACACTTCAATTCTTCGTTTTGGAGTGTAACACAACCGTTCAAAAGTGTCAGGAACTGGGAGCAAAATATGGAGATAGCGCTTTTGAAAAGCATTGTTCTACAAATAGTTTTGAAGTGAAAGTCAGAAAAAGTCTTAGGATCAGTGTCAAAGCATCAAGTAATCGTTGGGGAAAGACACCCCATGGGTCTTCTTTCCCCATCGATATGAGGGGCATCTTTCTCACCCGTAACGACATTAGTTGAAGCATGACGAGTGGAAACTGGGTGGTCGTGACGTGCTGACAAACAACACACACGCAAACGAGCGAACTGCATGATGATCTGCGAACCAAAGTCCAACAATATATGAGAATGATGTACTGTCAGACATTTCTTGACCTATTTTTCCTTCGAAAACGTCGAAAAACAAAAAAGCGCTGACTTAGCAAGTTAGTCAGCTATTACAGAATGTCACTGGCTTAAAATGCGTGTTTTGTGTAACTTCGGGAAAATCACACTCGGCTTACGCATAGGCACGAAACCTTCGTCAGCTTTTGCTTCTGCCTTGCGAAGCCGAAATTATTTTACAATGATCCGGGCTCTGCTTGGCTTTGAACCATTTTTTCACGGCTGGTTCGGCTACGGCCTCCGCTTTATGCCATTTGGAACCGTTGGCCTCGGCTTCGGCTTTGTGTTTTGTTCAGATCTGATTTCGGTTTCGACTTCGGCGTGGCATGCCGACTGAATTTTGACTTCAGTCTTGGCCTCACGCCGCCTTGAACCGCCGGCGTCAGCTCTTTCGTTGTGATTTTGATCGCGGTGACCCCGCAGTTACGGCTTTACTCCACAAAACATCTTCGGCTTCTTCGACACATCATTTCACTCCATTATGCCATGCAACTTCTCTGTGCTGGGACACAAATATGGTTGGTAACAAAAACCAGCGAGTCATTCCCCAGATCACCTTGCACCTCACGAGGGCCGGAGGGATATCTGCTCAAAACGTTGTGTGCCTGCATGCTAACGCGGGCCGAGGACGTCAGTGTGATAAATCTGTCATCCGTAAAGCTTGCGCCCCTTCTCAGGGGTGGCGCCGACAACTTTTGATGTGAGGACAAGATCGTAAAACCATCGCGACACTTGTTTAAAAAGAAATAGATGAGAAATCAAGCGCCAAATAACTGGCGTTTTGCTAAATCGTCATTGTTATGCAAATTCCTAATGTGTCTTGAGTTGCATCATCGCGACAAATGGGGCGCGGGAATCGCGGGTAGGGGCAGGGGCTGAGACCCACAAGCTTCTGAAAATTTACCATCGATGCTGCGCTTAACCTTCGGCGCTGACTGGAAAAAGTAATTCATATGGCTTGTTCCGTACAAATCTGCCTTTACACGGTTCCCCTTTTTTGTGAAATGTCGGATTTGCTGTCCCGTCTCTGAGCTTCTGTTTATCTCCATTTCTCGGTCCCCTGTCGAGTTTCCCCTTAGATTTATGTTTTGTTTAGTTTACCGTCCCTGCGACCCCGGCCCTACGGCCAGCCCGGAAACTGCGCCACATGTGTCGTGTCCTGTGCGGGGCCGCGCCGCCCGGTAACGGGGCAGTTGTCTCGCGAGCGCCGCCAGGGAGAGGAAGCGTATGTCCTCCTCCTGGCCCGAAATTCAAACCTCAAAATACGGCATCAGTCGACGGATGCGTGTTGACGAACGATCGAACGATATCGAACATGGCTATTATCCCTGGTCTTCCCAACGTGTCCTCCGTTGCTCCATGCTGGCGAGAATCGCGATGCCGCAAATTCTTATCGGCAAATTGCATATTATCCAGGCCATAGGCAAATTTAATCCTTTATAAAGCACATGCCACTTTATACTTACCCTTTTAGGTATTAAACTAAGGTCCAAAATTTGTTTTAGTTGGTTTATTTAACTGCTGAGAAAGGTTTCGGGACTTTAAAGATATAAGCGTGTAACGGATGTGTCTCATTAACAATGGAGCAGAAAATACTCATAAATCCATTTCAATTAGTCTATTTAACTGCTGAGAGAGGTTTCGGGAATTGAAAGATATAAGCGTATAAGGGGTGTCTCACTAGCAATGAAGCAGAAAATACTCAAAAATTTATTTTAATTACTTTATTTAACTGCTGAGAGGTTTCGGGAATTGAAAGATATAAGTGTGTAACGTATGTGTCTCATTAACAATGAAGCAGAAAATACACTTTCGGGGGTAATACTCTGAAGTTGGTTCCGGCCAGTCTGGCCCACCACTGCCAGGGCACTCATTTAAAACCTTTCCGCTACAAATCATGAGACCTTGGACTAATTAAAAATTAAACAA